CACAATTTGAAAACAGAACAGTAAGCGCAGAATACCTGCATCCCACACTGAACAACAACTCAACTTTCTGATTCTGGAGCCAGAAACAGCAAAGACAACAACACGTGTACACGTTTAGCCAGAATGCAACCGCAAAGTGTACAAACAACTGAAGTCAATACAAGAAAATAAAGCACAAACGCAAACTGAGAAAGAGATGAAGAAATGCAAACTCACCAGTCAAACAGCCATACTGCATTAAACATGAAGCAATACTGACAAACACTGAGATATTCCACTGGAGTCTCAGGTCATTAATATTCCAGCATCTGCCATGTGATTGATTCACTGGACGATGACATCATGACAACACTGAATGACTTAAGCTGCGGTCACACTGGGCTTTTCCTCCCATAGACTTCCATTTAAACGCACGCAAATGCGTCAGTCCGGAAACGCAGGGTTCAAACTTGGTGAACTCTGACCTGCGGAATCGCATCACTTGACTGCAGGAGACCAATGGAGGATCAAAACATGACCTCTCTGGACAGAACGTCTATTCATCTTGTTTAATCCCGCTCCTTTTCGCAGCGCCGCACGACAGAATTTCGCACACACAAACTCTAGTGTGACCACAGCTTTATAATAGGGCTGAATGATTATGACTAACCAGCAACAACACTACTAAACTAACTCACAGCAAATACATGGAAGCAATCAGGAAGAGAGATGACGAGAAATGACAGTCAAAATAAAAGTCCCTTACAAACAGTTGATGACCAAATTATTATCTTACACTAATTTCTAATGACTAACTTATTTTATCTTTGCCGTGATGACAGCACAAGATATTTTGCAAGATAATATTCAACTTAAAGTAGCGCTTAAAGGCTTAACTAGGTTAACCAGTTAAACTCTGCTGATATTTTGGGATTTCCGCCTGGATTTTGCCTACCCAAATTTAAAAGCTTCCCAAATCCACATGCAGAGGTGAAAATGCAAAAAATGTGGCATCATTTTAAAGCAAACCCTTTGAATTTTCATAAAACACTATTAAAGTGTTTAAATTATCTGTATATGTTGTCTGTGTTATAATAAACACCTAAAAAAAGAGGCGCTTTTTGTATTTTTTTTGTTATAAACTCAAATGTAAAAGTGTCCCTTTTAGGTTGTGTGTGGTCTAGCGTGCTGTAATTAATGTTGGTGGTTCCTGCACATGTCTGTAATCATAGGAAAACAGAAAAATGTCTCCACCATAATCTATGCAAAAGTTATTGTATTCCAACTGATGAGAGGTGCTGTACAAGCCACAGGAGCGATCATTGATTTCATATTTCACTATTCTTTTGTTTGATCAAACATAATTCACTGTGTTTGGAGCACGTCAGACATATAAAAGCATTACTTATGCACATCAGTTCAAAAACAGAGGAGAATGGCCCTGAAGCGCACAGCATAAGGTAAGAGATGAGCTGTCTGTGCTATCTGGGGCTGCTTATTGATCATAAATGTATTGTTTTCATTTCTGCTTCAGGGAGACACCGCGATTCCTTCGGCAACTGTTTAATATGTGAATATAATTCAGTAAAAAGGAATGCTATACCCGTATGAGCACCGGCAAGAGCTTTCATTTGAGCTATAACTTGTACATGTGTCAGATGAAAAATATGAAAATGAACCAATGTAAAATACCCAGTTCAGGTCTCCAAAATACTGTGTGTTTAAGTGTAAATAACTTTTGTACAGTAGAATAAAAACCAAAGTGATGCATATGTGCATAAAATATAGATTCTACACTTTCAAACGAAACCACTTACGGGGGTCTGCTGCAATGCTAGCCCTTTAAATCTGAAAGCAAAAGTCGATGACGTACGCTGAGTTTAACTGGTTAAGGAACACTATTTGCACCACCATCTACCTTTTTTTCTGAGAGTGTATAATGACATCTGACTGGACTGATTTGATCATGCCTTCCTCATAAAAAGCCACTTACGTAAATACTTATTTTTCTTATGTGAAAAATGGTCAACATATTGCACACAAATCATCTACACTGTAAAAGAATCCTGGCTGCCTTGCATTTTTAAGCTGAATCAAATTAACCTGATGAGTCCGTTGAACTCATATTATGTTAAACTGACTTAAAACAGCGTGTGCAAGTTACAAGATTAAGTTAGAACATGATGAACTTAATTTAACAAGTTACAATGACCTAAAAACATATGCAGCCAGGACTAATTGATCATATGTTTTACGGGTGACATATATCACTAGTGAAGCATTCAGTTTGTACACTTATAAAGTCCGCCATGTAAATAGCAAATGCACCATGGAGCGACACAACTTACTCTTAAAGGGAATGAGAGATGAGGCTCAAAACACACCCAGAACTCATTAAGAGAATCAGCACAACCCTGTTAGACCATGCGCCGGGGTGCAGAGCATATGTATCCATCCTTAAAATAGCTAAAGTGGATTTGCACAAACTCTTAATGCTTTTGCACCATGAGCTTTAGACTTTGCACATTTAGATTGTTAAAGTAGATCCCTAAGTCTGATTGACATTTTCATATGCATGTCATTTTGGACAAAAAACAAAGCATCTGCTTAATGACAAAATGTAAAAGCGCTGCTAAAACAGACTTTTAGAGGAGTAGCAGGGGTAAAAGAAAAGATACAGTCAAAACATCAGGGGCCTCATGTACCAACGCTGCGTACGCACAAAAACTTTGCGTACGCCAGGTTTCACGCTCAGAATCGCTCACGTTTGGATTTACTAATGATGAACTGAACGTAGGAATGTGCGCAGCTCCACGCGAGCTTCATGCCTGGTGTACGCACATTTTTTGTGCGTGTCTGTTTTATTTCTAGGGATGTAACGGTATTGTAAATACCGTCATACCGCAATATAATTTTTTTTCGATATTACCGTAGTCGCATGACTCGGTAAAACTATAGGTCTTCTGAGAAAAGTTTGCTCAGGCGAATGAAGCGAACGAGCGGAAACTACAATTCCCATCAGCCCATGCGTGGCCATCATCCTTTGCGGTCTGTTGTCACTACAGATCCAGTAATGCGGAAATGGAGTGTGCTTCTAGTAACGGGGATGAAAAAGAGCTGGAGATGAACCTAAAGCGGGTGTTGTCGCCGCACGCGTTCTGATCAGCTGTGTTGTTGCGCGCATACTGTAAAGCAGAGAGGGGGGGTTGAGCGCGCATACTCAAGAGCGGTGTTGTCATGCGCCTACTGAAGGGCGGGACGGAGCGTGTGTCGCGTCGCGGGGGCACTTTTGATCATTTTGGAAGGGCACTTTCTATCCAAGACTAAAAAGGGCATGTGCACTGCACAGGTTGAGCCCTATGTGTGCACGTGCCTGCAAGTTGGGGAATTTAATAGTAATAACAGTCATGGGGACTGCAGAAACACAGCACACTGTTCAGATTGATGCAGACATTGACTTGTACCTCAAAGAGACCCTCTATCTCACTCATGGCTTGTCCTCTCAAGTGGGGGAAAGACAATGCACAACGTTACCCACTGCTGTCAACCTGGGCCAAGTCATAGCAAGAAACCTGAGTCCCAGAAACCTCAGTCCCAAATGAGAGGGGTTTTTTTTCTGTTGCAGGGGACATTGTAAATACCCAGAGATACCAGCTTTTACCAGATTATATTTATATGATAATTTTCCTTAAAGCCCATCTCTATCTAAGTGAGTGAGTGATTAAATGTTGAATGTGATGAGTTTTCAACAATACTAAATTGAAACTTTATTTTTTTACATGGTTTAATAATTTTTTGTTATTAAAATTGAAGTTCCTGTTTCAAAGCTTACAGATAGATGGCTAATTTGTATGTCATTGACACTTTTGGCACTTTTTTGGAGTATTTTCATAAGTTTTGTTTTTTCCTGTAAATGATTCAATAAATACCGTACCGTGACATTCATACCGAGGTATTACCGTACCGTGAAATTCTGATACCGTTACATCCCTATTTATTTCCATTGGCGACTCCTAGAGGCGGTTGTGTTAAATTGCTCTCCACAAAGTGTCTGAGCCGTGCAATGGCAGCTGTATGAGACGGGTTCATCTAGCAGTTATATAAGGTTTCCATACCATACAGTTGACCAGCTAAGCATTAAAGCGCAAATTGCAGCGGTCGCCTGTTTTCCCAATGTAATCGGAGCGATCTACTGCACATACATTGCTATAAAGACACTATCTGAAGATGAATTTGCATGTGTGAAACATTTCCATTTAATAAATGTGCAAATAAAATATGATGCACAGACTTATTATTGATTCCTACTTGTCTTTCTCGTGATAAATAGTTGGGAAAATCTGATATGTAGCGGGGGAAAAAAGAAGAAAGAGTTCATCAGACGCTGGATTCGAACCGAGTTCATGCTCAAACGTGTCAAAATATGTTGACATGAGTCTTACGAGCTGCGCCACTGAGACTGTTAAGGATGTTGCAACATTTTACACCTATAAATCACACTATTTCTTTTTAATTCACTCAGTGCGATGTTCAGACTCAACTGTGTTAACCGCATCAGCTAAACTCTGCCACTCTATTTTTTTCTTTTGTTGTTAATTCCAGAGGACAAACTTGCAAATAACACCGCTTTTCTCCGGTCTGCCTCCGACAGCAGCACCTTCAATTCACATTCTGTTCAAAGTTTCTCTTCTTGCTTTTGCCGTTGCTTTTTCGTTGGGTTTTGCCAAAGTAGAGTCATTAGCATATTCATACGGGGGAGGAGGCAGGGAGGGGTTTTGTGCTCGTGCACATGCGCTCAGTTTCAAGTTCATTCGGATGTACAAAAGAATATGCATGTGATTCGGCGTACGCAGTGTTTCATACATCTGAATATTTTTCTGCGTCGCACATTTACAGCTTTGTGCGTACGCAATGTTTTAGTATGATTTCCACGCAAGTCTTCGTACATGAGGCCCCTGATCTGTGCATTAATACGTGCAGTGTAAACACAGAGAGAGACAGAGAAATAGAGATGCTCTTACCCCAGGCAGCGTCTTCTGTTCATGGAGAGCACTCTGGGCCTTCAGTGCTGACTCTCTGGCACAGTACGTTAGAAAGGCACATCCTGTAACACACACACACACACACACACACACACACACACACAGAGCAACCAGCACATCATCAAGAGTCGCGGCTACAATCTGAGCAGACCTACACATGCATTGCTGTGTTTACTTCATGTCGATTTCACGTCCTTTATTGTCATTCAGTAAGGGCTGTGTGCTGTTTATTGGCTGGGATGAGTTACTTTAAAAGCAATATATTACCATCTTTAGGTTTTTATATATTCTATTATTTGTTGCTCAAGATTTTTAAGGAACTTTTCCCAACACTGGCTATGATAATATGGTACTTGCTTTTAAAGGGATAGTTCACCCAAGGCAACATGGTGGCGTAGTAGGTAGTGCTGTCGAATCACAGCAAGAAGGTTGCTGGTTCGAGTCTTAGCTGGGTCAGTTGGCATGTCTGTTTGGAGAAATGGAGTTTGCATGTTCTCCTCGTGTTGGCGTGGGTTCCTCTGGGTGCTCCGGTTTCCCCAACAAGTCATGCGGTACAGGAGTATTGGGTAAGCTAAAATTGTCTGTAATAAAGGTCTGCATGGGGAGCCATGGGAATAAACTTCCGAATTAAGCGCAGGAGCGGTCGGGAACCGGTTTAATTTTGGACGGGAGCGGGCCGTCTAGCAATATCGCTCTCGACTCCCGAGCGAGCGAGCACGCGTATGTATGTGTGTGAACGAGTATGTGTGTACTGCGTGATGCTGCTTAGCTTGTTTGTTGCTGTGTGTGTGTGTGTGTGTGTGTGTGTGTGTGTTTATACAGACAGCTTGTTAAAGGCTGTCTGGATTCTATAAAGCTGGGTGGTTTTCGGTTTTGTTCTCCCCCCGCTGTTTAGCGGGATGGGGCGTGGCATGTGGAAAACGGGGCGGGGCGGGCAGCGGGACAACAAATGCTGAATATAAGCGGGAGCGGTCGGGTTCGGGTTAAAACCAGGCGGGAGCGGGATTCAAAATTTTGTCCCGCGCAGATCTCTAGTCTGTAGTGTATGTGTGTGAATGAGTGTGTATGGGTGTTTTCCAGTGATGGGTTGCAGCTGGAAGAGCATTCCCTGTGTAAAACATGCTGGATAAGTTGGTGGTTCATTCCACAGTGGCAACCCCAGATTAATAAAGGGACTTAGCCGAAAATGAATGCATAGTTCACCCAACAATAAAAAATCATGTGGTTATAAACTTTAATGAGTTTCTTTTTCTGTTGAACACAAAAGAAGATACTTTGAAGCATGTTGAAAAAAGCTGACACTGATATCCATAGTAGGGACATAAAAAACTGTGTGTGTGTGTGTGTGTGCACGCAAATGAGAGAGCTTTGTGTGTGTGTGTGTGTGTGTGTGTGTGTGTGTGTGTGTGTGTGCACGCAAATGAGAGAGCTTTGTGTGTGTGTGTGTGTGTGTGTGTGTGTGTGTGTGTGTGTGTGTGTGTGTGTGTGCACGCAAATGAGCGAGCTTTGTGTGTGTGTGTGTGTGTGTGTGTGCACGTGTGCACGCAAATGAGAGAGCTTTGTGTGTGTGTGTGTGTGTGTGTGTGTGTGTGTGTGTG